AAGAAGGGGAGGGATAGTGGAGAAGAGGAAGAGTTGAAAAAGAGTGAGACTAATGGGAGGTTAAAGTTTGTGTATTTTATTTATTTTTACTTTTAGAATTAATGAACTCAGAAAATTAAAATTAATTTTTAAGTAATCTCTTAAAAAATGAATAAAAAAAGTTTGGGTCATTTTAGATAAACTTGATCCACTCGTGATCCAACTCATTTGGATTTGGGTAATTTTAGTTTAAGTCATTTTAGATTTAGGTTAACACATTGGATCTATAACTTGACCCATAGTTGATGGTTTGAGTTGAATTTTTGGATTGGGCCAAATTTTGCCAAGTTTAAATGTGACATTAAATAAATTTAACATGTCATTAAATGAGTTGATGTATAAAATATTACATGTGAACTCCTAAATAAAAAGAGCCAATTGTATTACGTTATATCATGTAGTAACCTTATAATGTTACATGATATTGTAACTATATCATTTTTGAATCTCATATTATCAATTGAGAATGTATACTTTCATTTAAGTAAAAAAAAAAAAATGAATCTATTAGATTTATTTATATTGTTTTTAATAAATATACCTCTCAAACTTAAGACATCTTGTTATTTAAAAGAAAATTATTACTAAATTACTTAATTTAACTGAAATAATCAAAAGTTAGTTACTTCTTGTTGTGACGATAAAACCAAAAAGGAAAGAAAAATAAGATTTAAAAAAAACATTGAATATTTTGTTTTTTTAGCTGTCTTAATTTTGAGTTACACAATTAAAGAAGCAACTTGGTAAATAATTTATTAGAAAGTATAGTTTTTTTTGTATATGTTAAATATTTTACAAAGACAATCAAGAAAAGATTTGATAGAATTAAGATAAAATTGATATCCTTAAACCTTCGATTTTCTTCCCATTATTATTTTCCATATTTTTGTCTTTTTCACCCAGAATAAAAGTAAGGTCATATGTAATCCTTTTATAAATCAAATAATGACCCATAATAAAAGTAAGCTCATATGTAATCATTTTATAAGTCAGGTAATAAGAAATAGAAGAAGCGTGGAGGGAAATGGAAGAATTTAGGGTTTAGGAAATTATCTCAATTCATCAAAATTCCTTTTCAATGTTGCAACAAAGATTATTTATAAGGTAGTCACCTTAACTCCTAACTAATAATAAAATAACACTAAAGACCCAACTAAATAATATAATAGTAACATAACTTTTAACAAATTATTAAATAAGCCCAAGCTATTAGACTATTCCCTTAACTTTCAAGGAACATAAACTTGCATAATAAGTCAGGCTCCATTAGACACAATCTATAACCCTTAGGACTTTGTGTGTGGAAATAGGTTAACACTTGTGGTGATTTGTTGAACCATGTTAAATCTCTTATTCTTTATCCTTGACTTCACACCTTCACTTTCATATCTTTATTTGAAATCTATCATGATATTAGAGTGGGTTTGATTTGACTCTTTTAAGTACATTTTGATTTTTTGCATTTTATTTAAACCCTTTAATCAGCAATATTAAGAGAGTTCTTTTCTAACAAGTTTTGTTGTGTGAATTTCTAACTAAGATGACAACTTCATATTTTTAGCCAAGATGATAATGTCTTTTTTTTTTTTAGCCAAGATGGTAACTTCTTTGAAATAATTCCAAATTTCTCACAATTTGTTGAACTTCTCAATCATCAATTTCAAGGGAAGTTCATCACTTACTTAAAGGGCATATTATAAGTCTCTATAAATTCAACATCTATTAAGAATCATTGCGATTCAAGTTGGAACCAACAAGAGCTTGTCCGAATTAGTACCCATTAAGTTAAAAACCTTGATTCGGAGTTAAAAGTCAAAGGTTCAAACCTCTATATTGCCAAATAACTAGCCCTTTGATATACCAAAAACAAAATGTGATTCAACTTAGACATTATATCACAATTTCATGATCCAACTTGAGGGAAAGTATCGGAAAGTATAACTTTGCTTATAATTGTTGGAGATTAAATAGAGATAATTAAAGAAACATTTAACAAAATCAAGACAAAATTAAGATCTGAATCAAATCTCAATTTATGTAATTAGGATCCTTAAATCTTTTATTTTCTCCCTATCATTAAATTTCATCTTTTGTTTTTTACATCAATTATAAACGTAAAATCATATGTAATCATTTTATAAGGTAATCAATACAATCTATAATTCTCAAAGTTTCTATTTGTGGATTTATATTATCACCTATGGTGGTTAGTTGAATCACATTAAATCTCTTACTTTTTTATCTTTGATTTTACACTTTTAATTTCATATATTTATTTAAAATTAATCATAACTAAAGAAAAAAATGAAAGTCAAAACGTTTTGGTAACTTAGTAAAAGTTATTGAGTGTTTGATTTTTATTTTTTAATATGGATTTTTCTTACTTGTTCCCTTAGGACCATAAGTTAAAATAAAACTAATACATTTTTTAGTCGTTAAGTCATATAGAAAATAAAAAAAGTTGACCTAGTAGTTTTAGTTTCAGTGTTACATATATTAATTTAATTAGTTAATTGTTAAAATTAAAAGTAAATTTTTTTTCTACCTAACTTAGAAATGGTTAAAAAGTTGAATTAAATGTACTTATATCTTGTGCTTTAAAGATACAAATTAAAGAATCTCTTTACATATTTAACAATTATTGCTACATTTATTAAATTTAATAAAGTAAAATTTTTATAATAAATATTAATTTTTAAATATAGGAATACTAACTAAATATATATATATATATAAAATTTAAAACCAAAACTATAAGTCTAAGGGCTTGTTTGGTACAATGGTTAAAATTCAACAGATAGCGAATAGCGGTTGTAATACCCCAAAATTTCCTAGAGCATATAAGTTGAGTTAAGGACTTAATAGTGAGAAAACATTATTAATGGACCTAATTGTCAATTTTTCAAACTTCAAAGGGGTTAAAAGGCTATTGGATAAGGCCGGCTGACTCATTTCCTTTATCTTTTTCTTCTTTCTTTCTTTCTTTCCAGCATTTTCATGTGTCTGCTCTGTTTTCCTTTCTCCCTGCAGCCGAACATCACCAGCCATTTCCAGCGCCTTCATCCGAAAAATTGGTAAGAGAACTTGATGATTTTTGTTCTCCTCTTGCCCAAGAACAAGTCTAGAACTTAGAACTTCTCTCTCTTGCAAAAATTTTCCCGGATCTGCTGCCTTCTTCCTTCCTTGCCGCCGGCTGCTGCTGGGTATAAGCTTCGGTTTTTCCTGGTAAAATCAGCCCAGAAACTCCTCTTTCCAGCCTTGATTTATGTTGGGTCTGTCACGCCCCCAGAACCCAAATCCGGAGACACGACAGACGCCGTGCACTCGTGATCGAGTCCCACGAATGCACAAGGCTCGGAACTTATCCAAATCACATCTGACAATCCAAACTCAGATCAGATATTTCAAAATTAATTCCCTATGTCCAAACACGACTTAACCTCAAAATCTCCAGATCAAATCTCTTATAAACTAACTATCCACTAAATGAATTTACAATCTCCAATTAAAATCTCGCTTACAAGATCATCATTTATATCTAAAATCCATATTCAATTTACACGATGGCTAGCCTTCTAACTCGTCACTCCCCTCGGTTTCCCCCGTCCTCAGTATCGCTTCCTGAAATGGTGGACAAGGAAAAACTATAAGATAAACTTAGTAAGTAAATATGGATAGCCCTTGGGTAAAACTTTGAAGCATGCCAGATAAACCATGTAAGCGTAACAGACTTTTAATGATAAACCATTAATGCGGAAATCGGATTCAGTTCAATAACAAAACGTTTCATGACCAACCGTTACATGCAAAAGAAAAACTCAGTTCAGTAGTTTCATCTATAAGTCATGGCCAGTGTTTATAAACTCTCACTGGTAGGCGTCAGTAATGGTACCAGTGTTTACAAACTCCCACTAGTAGGCATCAGTAATAGTGCCAGTGTTTACAACTCCCACTGGCAGGCGTCAGTAATAGTGC